GAAAGGGGGAGACCCAGTGCAGGGTGCTCCACCACGACCCTCCCCAATCACCCTGTGCTTGCCTCGTCTCCCTCCAACGTCCCCTCCCTTGCTCCCACACACATCCTGGCTCAGAGGGATGCAGCCCCCCCGCCATGACCGGCAGTGTCACATCCGATCGGGTGCCAGGCAGGATAAACATCCCTGATGCTCGGCCAGAGACTGCTCCAGAGAGGGGAGACAGTCAAGGAGAAAACGGAGCGTGAGGAGCTAAAAATAGCATCTGGTGAAGGCTTGGTCCCTGCGGGAGCTGCCAGCGCCCGTCACCAGCAGCAGGATGAATGCATCCCCCCCCCCCACTGACTGCTGGCTCCAGCCCCATCGTGGGGTACGGGGGGACCCGATCCTGGCTGGTGCCGTGAGCCTCATCCCTCCACAGGGATGGAGGTCAGGAGAGCATTGCCCTTCATGGGTCATGAAGCTCTGCCCTCCCCAGGGACCAGGAGTGGTGCTGAGCTCCCCAGGGAAGGGACAGGGTGGGCACCTTGCTGCGGGTGCTCAGCATCACCCCTCACCATAGGCAGGGAGAGGAGGTTGGCCACAGATCATGGAGTCACGGAGTGGGTTGGGTTGGAAGGGACCTTAAAGCTCCTCCAGCTCCAACCCCTGCCATGGGCAGGGACACCTTCCACTAGGACGGGTTGCTCCAAGCCCCTTCCAACCTGGCCCTGCACATCCACCCCGAGAGCCGGGAGGGGACGTTTGGAGGCTCTCCCCAGCCCCAGTTACACACACGGGCAATGGCAGCCGAGGGGATGGGTGCCGCTTTGGGCTGATCTCAGTTCATGCTCAGGCTGCTCTCCCCTCCTCACAGCTCCCATCCGGCTCCGGGGTGCTGGGCGGGGGGACGACCCCCTCATCACACACACTCGGTGCTGCCCATGTCCTTGTGTTGAGCAAAACATGGGCTGGGGCACGCTCAGGTGGGTTTTACAGGGGGATCCAGGCTTTCCGAGCCCCCCCCCACTCCCCCACCCCGGGCTCCATCCCCTTATTATCTTTAATTATTATTCCTAAGATTTCCATCCTGGACCTGAAATAAATGAGCCGGGAGGGAAGGGGGGGGGGGGGGGTGTTGGGGACCAAGCTGCCCCAAGTGGAACCCCCATCACCCCCCATGGGGCTCCATCCGCAGACATCAGGAGCAGGGGGGTCCGCGCGTCACCCCCCGAGCGGCGCTGCTGCCCGCAGCGCGCTGCGAGCCCCCCAGCCCGGGCTGGATGCTCTTGGGGGGGGGGGGGTGGGGGGGGTGGTGGTGGGGGGGGGGGGGGGGGGAGCACAGCGCGGGAGGGACACGGGAGGACACGGCGGGGCGGCACCGGCGGGCGGGGCACGGCGGCGGCGGCGGCGGCGGCTGGGGGGGGGCGGCGGGTGGGTCCCCCCCGCACGGAGCGTGGGCCGGGAGCGGCGGCGGCGGCGGCGGCTCGGCCCCGGTGCCCCCAGGGCCGCCTGCGAGCCGGAGCGCGGAGCATCCCTCCTGCGGGCACCGAGCGGCAGCGCTGACACCGGCGGCGGCAGCATCGGCATCAACATCAGCATCGGCACCAGCATCATCACCGCCAGCAGCACCGGTACTGGCGCCGGTGTCGACGTAGGCAGCGGCTCCAGCAGAGCCCAGGTGAGCAGCTGATGGGTGGTGGTGATCAAGGACCTGGGCCACGGTGGGTGGATGCCCTGTGCTGACGGGTGCTGAGGATCGGGTGCTCACCATGGGGACTGGGTGCCCACCCTGGGCACCTCCATGGCAGCACATCAGAGCAAAGGCAGGAAAGGGTGGTGGTGGCTTTAGGGTACAGATGGGGCTTAGGGGGAGGAAACTTTACATCAGGCTTGGGTGCTGAGGGGGTACTCAAGGGCTTGGGGGGGGGGGGGGGGTCTGTGACCATCCAACTGGGGGTAGGTGGCTCTGGGGCAGATAAGGGTGAGCAGTGATCGGGCACTGAGCAAGACTCACCCATCTGCGCTGGGTATTTCAGATCAGCCCCCATGGTGGCATCTCTGTCCCATCCTGGGCCCTCAGCTCCTGCTCCCTTCTCCCTGGCAGGTCCTAGGGTCACCATTACCCCCACCACCTTCCACCCTGTCCCATCCTCATCTCCATCACCCCGACCCCCCGCCAGCTCCTGCCCTCACCTTCCCAGATTTGAGCTTCCCAGCTGATTTCAGGCCTGGGGTGCCGGGAGGGGGGTCCCAGCAGTGAGACCCAGCACGGGCTGAGCACTGCTCTGTGCAGGGGACAGGCTCCTCCCGCGGCATCCTCTCGGGATGAAAGGGCTTCCCCAGGGACACCCCCTCCCCGCTGCCTTCAGGGCATTCTTTTGGCAGGTTGCCCCTTGGATCGGGTCCCTCTGGTCCCCGGCGCTGGCTCCTGTTCCCTGGCTGGGTGGCAGGGACACCAAGGAGGTGGCAGAGGCAGGATGCCCTGTGCTCACCTCGAGTACCCACAGCCTGTGACCTTGGGGCTGTCCACCAAGGGACACCACAGCTCTTGCTGCCAGCCTGGGTCCTCCCTGCTTATCCCCACTCATCATGGCCAGGCAGCAGAGGTGGGAGGTGCAATGGGGGCTGAGAGCCTGACCATCACCTCCACCCTTTATGGTCTCAGCAGCATCTTGCCCCTGAAGCAGGAGGTTTTGGAGGGGAAGGCGGTGGCAGAGCCAGGATCTCCTCACTCCTTTAAGCTGGGGGACTCACGGTGCTGGTTCCAGGACTGGGATGCTTGGAGGAGGTGGAGAAGGTGGCCGGGAGCAGGGGGATGCTCAGTGGGAGGTTGTTGGAGTCTCTGGTTGCTGCCTTGGGGTTCAGCTGCTGTTTCAGCCAGTGGAGCTCTGGCACCAGATCCTGACCTGGCCCTGTGCTCCCTCAAGGTGCTCCAGTCCCTTGTGGACACATGGCACCATGAAGGATGGGGAGGGTACCCACAGCCCTGCTCCTACCTTGGCTCCTTGGGCAGGAGGTTCTAGTGCCTGGCTCAGCCAAGGGGTGATGGATCCAGCTCTGCTCCATCCAGGATGAGAATTCCAATCCCTGCCTCTGATCCCAGGGTGCCTGCATGGACTTGTTCCCTCCTTGGCTTTCAGTCCCTTCCCCAGCTGCTCCCCAGAGGCCAGGTGGGTGTCACTGGGTGATGAGGTGACAGCCACCGCATCAGGGAATCCCGGTGATGCTCCTGGCATCCATGCAGGGATGGGGGGAAGCATCTGGATCACCTCCATGTGATGCCTCACCACGAGGGAGACTCATCCTCGGGAGAGGATGCTGCTTGGGGAGCAGGACACAGGGGAGATTTCCAGTCCCTGCTTGGATGGGCTGCAGTGGGAAGGAGAGAGGCCCTGGGGGGAAGCAGATGCTGCAGGTGGCCTGGGAAGCCTCAGCTGGCTTTGCCCCCAAGATTCAGGATCTGGGGGAGCATGCATGTGTCCTGGTAGGGCTGGGAGCATCCTCTGCATTCCATGCTGCTTCCTTAGGGAAGCTGCCTTCCCCACCATACCCAGCTGGACCACGCTCCTCTCCTGGTGCTGACCAGGAGTAAAGGAGTAAAGTGATGGAGTAAAGGGACCTTGTGATGGGACAAGAGGCTCCTGCAATGCATGGTGAGCCTGGGGCCATCCAACTGCATGTCAGAGATGCCTGGTGGCTTGTGTCACCCAGCACATCCCAGAATGAACCCAGTGGTACCCATCAGGCCCCCGATGTCCCAGCCCCTGCATCCCAGAGCCCGTGTTGCCGCATCCTCACATCTCCTTGGGTTTCCCCTGGCACAAATCCCACTGCCGCCCACATGCTCCACACAGGGGAGCATCCAGGCTGTCCCTGTCCCCAGCGCCTCGGATCGGGTCCATTGGCTCCCAAACAGGATGCTGAGGCTGGAGCAGCTGATGAAAAGCCATGTGGGGAGGAGGGAGCCTGGACGTGATGGAGAATGGAAGCGGCTGAGATGTGGGTGCCACGTTCATTGTGCCAGATTACAGTTTGTGCTGCCAGGGAGCAGCTAACTCAGGGTTACGGTGGGAGCTGTATTAGCCAGGGCTCAATCACTGCGATTACCTCCCATTAGATCACCTGCTCTGCAATGGGGCTGTGTGGCAGGGGAAGCTCTTGCTTATCTCCCTTGGCTACGAGAGCAAGCACTGCTTTACCTGCGGTGCCGGGTCCTCTCCATTGGGCTGCACGTGGGTTTCCATCACCGTCCTGTGAATGGGGCTGTTCCATCTCCCCCTTGGACTCCAAAAGGACCCAAATGCAAAGGATGGGCCTGAGAGCATGAGGAAGATGGGGGAGATGGGCTCAGCCCTCGCACCCAGCACCCTTGTGGGGTCCCCAACGGGCACCTGACACCCCCCCCCAGGGAGATTGCTCTCCCACCACACCAATTGAAGGTGAGGAACTGATGGGGTGGGGGCAGTGATGGGCACAAGCACAGGGTGGCCTGGGAGTGGCTGGAGCAACCTCCATCACTTCCTGGGATGTGGCGCAATCCCTTCCTCCATCCTTCCCTGGGACCTGCTGGGATCACTCCCTGCATCCCTCCCTGGGATGTCTCCATCCCTCCCTGGGATGCAGTGGGTTCCTTCCCTGGGATGAGGTAGGATCCCTCCTTCCATCCCTCCACTGGATGTGATGGGATCCCTTCCTTCACCTCTGCCCACACCTCTGCACAGGGATCTTGCAGCTCCCATCAGCCAGGGAGCAGGGGCCCTGCTCTTTAGGTGGGTAAAAGCTGGAGGTGCTTCTTGTTAGCACAGAGAGAAGGAACATTTTCCCCTCCCGATTTCCCAGAGGAGAACAGGGATCCGAGGGGAGAAGGGATGAAATGGGAAGCAGCGATGTGCACTGGGCTGGGAGCTCCAGGTTCCAGGGGGATGGAGATGAGGAGCTTTTGGGTGCAGGATAAGTGCCCAGCAAGGCCCAGCAGTGATGCTGCACTGCCAGCTCTGCTGAGCTTTTAGTGCTTTCCTCTTTAATGAGAGCAACTCAGGCTCGTCCAGGGATGAAGCCAGGATGGTCCAGAGGACACCACACATTCAGGTTTCCCCGGTGCTTTTGGCATCTTCCTGGGATGCTGCTCCCACAGGAAAAGATGCCTTTATCTTACCCATGCAGGGACTCGCAGGAGATGCTGTGCTCAGCAGGGCTGAGTTGGGATTAAACTGCTGAGTCCTATGGAGCGCAGTTTCCCGGCCCAATCCGGGTCTGCAGGATCAAAAAGGGATCTTCCCTGTGGTCACTGCCCTTTGGGGGAGCCGAGCCATGATGTGGGACACGGTGGTGAGCACCACATTCGGGTTGGCAGCGCTGGGTTTGCCCTGCAGATGCTGGGGGAAGCTTTGGGTTGGGATGGCAGCGAGCGCCTGAGCTGCTTTCACTCTTACCCTCGAGCAGGCCTTGCTCTGGTTTGTTTGCAGTGTTATAAAACAGAGTGACAGCTCCTGCAAGCAGCCTAGAATCCTGTCTGGAGAGGCTCAGGTTGGATTTTATTTGCTTTCGGGAGGGTATTAAGCAGAGCTGAACTCTGCCGTCATCCCTGTGCACGATGAGACAGGGATTGATGGAGCAAGAGCCATCCTTTGCTCCTCCCAGCAACTCCATCCTATGGATGTCAGCAGCAAAAGCCACCTCTGGGGCTCATCTCCCTGTTGGCATCCAGGGATTATGGGGAATGAAGGTTATCAGCGTCGTGTTCTGGACTCGATTCTCACTCTTTGCCTTGAATGGGAATTGAGGTACCAATATCCAAGAGGCGTGGATGAGCCCCACTGCAGAGACAGGGAAGTGTTTGCTTGGTCCAAAATCATGGAATGCTTTGGGTTGGAAGGGACCTGAAAGCTCCTCCAGTTCCAACCCCTGCCACAGGCAGGGACACCTTCCACTAGAGCAGCTTGCTCCAAGCTCCATCCAACCAGCCCCATCTAGGCTGGCTTTAGCTCAGACGCATCCCAGGTTTTAGGGTGAAAAGGAGACTTTGGGTCCAACAGCTGGAGAAAAGGTCCTTAAAAAACAAGTCAACTCTAAGGCATCCAAAAGGAAATGGAGAATCCAAGGGAAGATCCTTACAAGCATCCTTGTAACCCCAGGAGAGGTTTGGGTGGAATAATTCAGGAATGGGGTATGAGCAGGAATGGGACTGAGTTTAGACATGGTCATTGAGCCTAGATCTGGTCTTGCCCACTTGCAAAGCAGTGATGGGGACCACGAATGGAGTAGGGGAAGGGGTGAAGAGGGATGTGAGGATGATGAGGGCGATGCCGGGATGATGGAGGGGAGGAACAGACCCTTCAGTGTGCCCCAGGATGGATGAGGCAACCCAAGCAGGAGCAGGAGCTGTGGAGAAGAGGGGAAGTAGGTGAGGCTGGTGTGAGACCTCGGTGATGCTCCGAGCACACGGGCACGGGTTTGCTCCAGACTGTGCCACCATCCCTGGAAAAGCACCAGGCAGGATCCGAGCTCTCCCCCTTGGAAAGCTGGAGGTTTAGGGACAAAACTGCAGTCCGTGGTCAGAGAGGGTTTGCTGCCAAGGGCAGGCGATGGGGTGTCAGCATCCTCCATGGGCTGCACCCATCAACAGCAGGGATCATCATCTCCAGACACTCGCATCAAGACCACCTCAGTGGCGGGCTTGAAGCAAAACCTGTTCTCTGTGTCCTTCTGCATCAATACTCTAGCACCAGCCAACATTCCTGAGGCCTTTTCCATCCCTGCCCTGGAGACGATGAGTTTGGGACAATATTTATTCCCATCCTTCCCTCTCACCTAGATCCTAGGTGCTGTTTATGGGCTGCTGACAGCTGACAAAGCCCATTGCCACATGGCAGCGGGTGCTGCTCAGCACCTCCTGTGCCTGCGGCCACATCCCTGGGGATGAACCCACCGGGTCCCAACCTGCTGCCTCCATGGGGGATCCCTCAGCTCTCCAGACCTTATCCTGTGTTTAATCATTGCCATCTGCTGTTCCCAGCCCCAGGAGCTCTTTGCTCTGCCTGGTGCCTGTCGCTCTCTGCTTAAATCAGCCCCGTTGGATTTGCCTCCCGTGCGGACTCATCACTGGATGATGCTCTCATCCCCTTCTGATCCAGGGCAGCTCTTTCCTTCCCGGCTTGCAGCCTCATTTAATTCAGTGTTACAGCTACGCCTCGGTAAATCCTTCCCATGTTTCATCCCGCTCATCATCCCTTAATAACACGGATGTCTCGGGCTGGGCTGCAGCATTTCCCAGCCTGTGGCTGGAGAGGCTCAGCACAGACCCCATTGAACCACATTGAACTAAAGGAGCGTGAAGAACCCCCTTTGTAAAGCAAGCTGGGGACATGAAATGGCCCAAACCCACGCTTCGGATGAGCCAAGGACACATCAACCACTTAGAAGCCGAAGAAGCAAATCCTATGGGGAAATGAATCCTTAGCAAAACTTCCCAGCCATCGTTGTCCCATCTCCCTGGTCCTAAACACCCCAGAGCAGGCCTGGTTCATGTGCCTGGTGTCCATCACCTTCCTCTCCTGTGCTTGATCATTGCTGCAGCCAAATGGCGCTGCTGAGCAGCCCGAGGCCAAGCCAAGGTGCTCAGAGCTTGTCCATGGCTCTCACCTCTGTGGCACGAGAGCATCAGGGCTCAGCAGCACCTGATGGGATGCTCTGGTGCTGGGAGGATGTTGTGGTGCTTGAGGATGCCCAAGGTTTGGGGGCAGTGGGGGCTGGCTCAATTCCCAAGGGGTATGATGGATCCCCGTGCCATGTCCTCCCTCCACCTCTTCCCAGGATCTTCCACCATGGCCCATCTCCAGGAAGGATTAAGGTTTATTTCTGCCCCAACCTCCTATATCCCATTAGGGGCATTAAAGAAGGAGCCAGTGGCCCTGAGGACCTTCCATGTGACTCCAGGGGCTATTTTAAGATGAGACCATATTAAGCCCCACAGAAACAGCCCCTGCTTAGAGGGGAAATCCCTGCCCAGGCTGGGTTGGGTTTGGGACCACTTGGCACGGGGCAGGCTCCCATGGGAACGCAGGGATGCAGCGGGATGCGGACAGCGCGATGGGCTCCCTGTGACAGTGATGCTGCACCCAGCAGTGCTCAGGATCCCCACCCATGACAACCCCTGCAGGGTCCCAGCACCTCATCTCTCTGCATGGTGGTTTGGGTGACAGACAGGATGGAACCCCTGTCCGCATCCCTGGTACCCTGACCCCGGTGTCCCTGGAGCTGCAGGATGGACACAGCCTGGCCTTGAAGACTCCTTATTGCTGGTCCTGCAGCTCCTGAGACAGAGGGAGCTGCTGGGAAGGGGCTTTGATCTGGCCCTGTGGGGCTCCTGCCCTGCTGGATGTGTGTGTGATTGTGAGCATCCACGTGTGTATACATGTATACGTGTGCATAGGTGTAGTTGTGTGCATACATATGTGTGTGAACACGAGTGTACACGTGTGTGTGTGTGTGTGTGTGCATCATCACACACACCAGGTGTCAGCCCAGCCCCTGTTCCCAATGGATGACAGTGGGACATGGCGGCTGCTCTGGCATCCACATGGATGCTACTTGTGTCCTGGTGCCCAGGGTCAGCGTGGCCACAATTGGTGCCACACGGAGGACGTGAACTTGGACGTGTGATGTGTGATGGGAACCTCTGTGACCAGGGGCTGACACAGCCCTGGCACTTAATGGGAGCCCCTGCACTGACATGGGGTGCACACGCATGCACATGTGTGCCAGGGGATGCCATGCGTGCACAAGCACACGCTACAGTGAGCTCTCAGCCTGCCTTGCTGCCATAGAATCAATGAATCCCAGCCTGGTTTGGGTTGGAAGGGACCTTAAAGCTCCTCCAGCCTCAACCCCTGCCACGGGCAGGGACACCTTCCACTAGAGCAGCTTGCTCCAAGCCCCTGTGCCCAACCTGGCCTTGAACACTGCCAGGGATGGGGCAGCCACAGCTTCTCTGGGCACCCTGTGCCACCCTCACATCCCACCTCCCCGTCCCCATCCCTGTTCTCCATCCATCTCTCCAACAAGAGATCCCTGCCCTTCACAGCCTGGTTTGCTGCAGCCCCGCAGGGAGGAGGGTGCTGGGAGCTCTGGGTACCACCCATGGGGACGCGGCTCCCTCCTGCACTGCCCCATTGCTGACCCCTCCTCTCTCTCCCCCCAGGTTGGAGCCTGAAGGACCCAGACAGGTGGTCCCCATCTACTGGGGGGTCCCTCACTGCCTGTGAGACCCTGGGAGGAGGAAGCACCAAGCCAGGGAGCAAAGCAGGACCCTGGGCACGGGGGAGGCAGAGCACCAGGCCAGGCTGGAGGGTGCCCGGTAAGGCTGCTGGGGGGGGACCCCATTTCTCCATGATCATGGAATGGGTTGGGTTGGGAGGGACCTTAAAGCTCATCCTCGGTGCTCCCAGGGGCTGATGGGCAGGGATGTGTCTCGGCAGGGTTAACATGACCGAGGTGGAACCCGTGCTGGACTTCGCATCCTCCGGGAGGACGGGCAGGCGCAATGCCCTGCCTGACATCCTGGGCTCTCCGGCCGGTGTCAGCCCCGCTGACCTGCCCCTCAAGCTGGCAGAGATGTCCCTGAGCGCAGGTGGGTGATGAGGACCATGGAGGATGGTGCGGGGAGGGCAGGAACTGGGGCTGCTTGTCATAGAACCACAGCCTGAGGTGGGATGAAGGGACCTTAAAGCTCATCCAGTTCCAACCCCTGCCATGGGCAGGGACCCCTTTCACTAGAGCAGCTTGCTCCAAGCCCCTGTGTCCAACCTGGCCTTGAACACTGCCAGGGATGGGGCAGCCACAGCTTCTCTGGGCTCAGCACCCTCACAGGGAAGAGCTTCTGCCTAAGAGCTCATCTCAGTCTCCCCTGTTTCAGTTTGAACCCATCACCCCTTGTCCTGTCTCTGCAGTCCCTCTCCTGCATCCTTGTAGCCCCATTCAGATATTGGAAGCTGCTCTGATGTCTCCATGCAGCTTCTCTTCTCCAGGCTGAACAGCCCCAATGCTCTCAGCCTGGCTCCATATGGGAGCTGCTCCAGTCCCTGAGCATCCTCGTGGCCTCCCCTGACCTTGCTCCATCAGCTCCATGTCCTCCTTATGCTGGGGACCCCAGGACAGGATGCAGGACCCAAGGGGGGTCTCCCAGAGCGCAGCAGAGGGGCAGGATCCCCTCCATCACGCTCTGGGGGTGCAGCCCAGCACACACACACACACACACACACTGCGTGGGCCATGTTCTGCTCTCATCCCTCACCCCTGCTCTCTCCCGCAGGCAGCGCTCAGGAGATGCAGTCCCCCTCGGCGGAGGTGCCCCCTCCGCAGCCCCCCAGCCCCGAGCTGAAGGACACATCCTAACCCCGCTCCAGGGGGGGCCATTGCTGACCAGCGGAGGAAGGAGGAGGCTGTGGAGCATCAGCCCAGCTTCCCTGGCACGGCCGGAGTCCGCTGGGTTCTCCTCGGTGCTGCCATCGGGCATCATCCCCCCGCCATGGGGCGAGCATCGCACGGGGACCTGTCGGGATGATTCCCAAGGGGCAATTCCCACCCGGGGCGAGGACTCGAGGGAGGAATGTGTTTGTCCTGGGACGCTGGGCAGAGCCGAGCACAGGGGGCTCTCCGGGGGGGCTCCTCCTGGCCGCAGGAGCAGCCTGTGGTGTTTCTAGCTGAGTGTGGTGTTCACTGTGATGTTTTGGGTACCACCTCCGTCTCCTCGCCTTTCTTCCTGCGTGATGCGGGGGCCTTTTCCAAGGGAGGGGGGGGGGGGGCAAAACCCCAACGTCCCCCCAACAGTCCTTAAGCAAAGGCAGCCAGCACCTTGCTGAGTGTTCCCACCAAGGAGTGGAGCATCCCAGGGTGGTCTCGGCTCCATGGACAAAAGGATGCTGGCGATTTGGGGGGGGGGTTAGCAGGGTGATGCTGTTTTGAGCATCCCCCCTCTGCCAGGGCCACCTATGGGTGCCCATGCCCAGAGCCCTGGGATCCCCTCGTATTCCCTGGGGAAAACCCAGGAGGGGGAACAGCAGCAAACGGGTCCTGCAGTGCTTTGGAATGAAGGGGGTGTGAGATGGAGCCGGGCTTTCCCAGGCGCTGCTCCCCAAAACCTGCTGTCGGGTGGGATGGGGACCCCCCTGCCCGGGCACCGAGGGGCTGGGAAGGACTTGGGAGGCAGGATCCTGCCCAGGCTGGGGTTTCCTGGTGGGAAGCTGGAGCCAGGCAGAGCCTGCACATTGGGCTGGACCCATCTCCATCACCACGGTCACCTATAGCTGTCGCTGTGGGACCAGCAAAGGAAGCCCAAAGCCCAGGTCCATTCTGGCCACCACCCTGGGGGGTGACCGGGTCAGGGACACTGGTGTGGGGCCATGTGTGGGGTCACCGTGTCCAGCCAACGTGAACACAGCCACACGTGTGTGGGTGCATGTGCGTGTGCATGGGGACCCTTGTTCATGGGTACCTGTGTGCATGGGTGCCTCTGTGCATGGGGAACCCAGGTGTGAGCACCTTTGTGCATCCATGTGCATGGGTGTTGTGCACATAGTGTGCATGGGTGGCCATGTGTAGGGGTGCTCCTGCGGGTAGGTGTTCATGTGTGCAGGCAGCCATGTATGTATGCATGTGCATGCAGTGCATGTATGTTCATGTGCGTGGATGGATACCCATGTGGATGCATGTTCATGTGCATGCATGTTCATGTGCATGGATGGCTATGTGCATGGATGCTCATATGCATGGATGCCCATGTGCATGTATGTTCATGTGCATGCATGTTCATGTGCATGGATGCTCATGTGTGTGGATGGATACCCATGTGGATGCATGTTCATGTGGATGCATGTTCATGTGCATGGATGGCCATGTGCATGGATGCTCATACGCATGGATGCCCATGTGCATGCATGTTCATGTGCATGCATGTTCATGTGCATGTATGTTCATGCACATGGATGACCTTGTGCATGGGTGTCCATATTCATGCACCTTCATGTGAATGGATGTCCATGTGCATGGATATCCATGTACATGGGTGCTGCCATGGGTGGGTGTCCATGTGCATGGGCATGCGTGTTAATGCGCATGGGCGCTCACGTGTGTGGTGGGTCTCTGTGGGTATGGGTGCCCACGTGCATGGGTGCTCCTGTGGGTGAGTGTCCATGTGCATGCAGTAGATCATGCACATGGGTGCTCAAGCATGTGAGCGGGTGTCCGTGTGTGTAGCTACCTATGTTCATGGGCATGCGTGTGTGGGTGCCTGTGCGCATGGGTGTCCGTGGAGGGGATATCTACACGGGGACGTGCTGTTGTGTGTGGGTATCCATGCATGTGGGTGCTCCTATGCGTGGGTGCTCCTATGGGTAGGTATCCATGCGCATGGGCAGGCGTGCTCACACATGTTCATGTGCACTGGTACTCGTGCATCGGTACCCACATACGTGGTGTCCCTGTCATGGGTGTCCCTTTGGATGGGTGTTCTGTGCCCTACATGTGGCTCATCCACATCCCATGGTCCCACTGCTGTGGGGGGAGGCTGGTGGAGTGTGTGGGCATCGGGCTCTGCACACATGGGACACCTCATGTCACACACCCCCCTTTTCACCCCACGGGGTCTGTCCCCATCTCCCCACCGCAATGGGTTCCATCACAGGCAGCGCAGTGGGAAGAGGCTAAACACGAGCTCCGGCTATTTTTGGGTGCCTGCAATGACACCTTGGGGCCAGAGAGAGGGAGGAGGTGTCCTCGGGTCCCTCCCTCACCCCCTTCTGCCCCCGCTGTGCCTAAGACCCCATGGGGAACACGCTGCAGATATGGGGGTGAGGCCACCCCACCCCGAAAGTGGGACCCCCCCCGGTGCTGGGGATGGAGTCCTGATGGATGGACCCCACTGCCAACAGAGCCTGAAGCAAAAGGGGACACGTGTGGGTCCCATGGCCGCCCTTGTCCCCAGTGTCCCCCGCACACACAGAGCATCACTGGGGTCACACATCCCCCCCCCACACACACATGGAGCAGGGGTCCCCACGGCCCCCACCTCAGCACACATCCCCCTGAAGGACCCCACTGCTGTCCCCACACACATCCCCACCCCAAACCACCCCTCCGTCGGGATGCTCACACCCGCACCCCCCCCTTTCCCCATCTCCCCTCTCCCTTTGGGGAGCCGGGACCCGACCCAGCTCAGGGCACGCTCGCCCCATGGCTGCGCCCCGGTGTCGGGGCCGGTGTCGGGGCGCGGGGTGGGCGCTGGCAGCGCTGCCGAGGAGGAGTATTCCTGGAGCGGGTCTGCTCTTTCCAATCATGTGATGGGGACGTTATTTAAGGCGGCGGCGCGGCCGGACAGGAGCTGTGGGTTGGGCGCTGCCGAAAGCCGCTGCCTGGGACCCCCTCCCCTTCCCCTCTGCACCCCTCCCCGGAGCCCCGCACCATGGTGGATGCGTTCGTGGGCACCTGGAAGCTGGTGGAAACGACCAATTTCGATGAGTACATGAAGGCGTTGGGTGAGCACCGGGGGGGGGCTGGAGCCGGGCATCGCCCCTCTGCGTGGTTTATATTCCCCCATCCCACCAAGCGCATGGGGCTGTGGTTAGGGGGAGCGCTGCTATGGAGGGTGGGTTATGGGGGGGTCTGGGTGGGGGGGGTTCGTTATTCTCTGCCCTTGGTTTTGTGGTGGGGGGGGTGCTGGGAGCTGCTCAGGATCCCCTCCAACCCCCCCCCCCCCCCCCCCAAACACACATCACATCTGTGCATCCCACACCACAGAGTGGTCCATGATGTGGGGGACACTGGTGAATCCCGCCCCCCCTCCCCAAGCGCAACCCTGGAGCTGGGTGCTGCAATGGCAGCATTCCCAGCCCCTTTTCCCATTGTTCCCATCCCAGAGCCCTCCCCAAGCAGAGCAGGAAAACCCTGGGGGGTGGCCAGGAGCATGGGTTGGGGGGTTTCGGGGTTCACCCCCATACCCATGAGGTGATGCTGGAGGGTGATGCTGCATCCTCCGCACACCCTCACCCTGCCCCTGCACCCTCAGGCGTGGGCTTTGCCACGCGGCAGGTGGCCGGGTTCACCAAGCCCACCACCATCATCGAGCTGGATGGGGACAAGGTGACGGTGAAGACCCAGAGCACCTTCAAGAACACGGAGATCAGCTTCAAGCTGGGCGAGGAGTTCGATGAGACCACGGCGGACGACAGGCACGTCAAGGTGAGTCCCGGCCCCCCAGGTGGGATCTGTGGGATCAATGGGATCCGGCCGTCACCGCACGGCTCGGGGGGCTCCAGCCTTGTTGCCGATGGAAGGATGAAGCCTCTTTGCTCCAGGGTTGGGGTTCAAACCTGGTCTCATTCACCCTGTTTTCAGCTGGGGTGTCCCGGGAGGGCAGGGAGGTTGTGCAAGGGCTGGGCTTGCTCAAGAGCATGCAAAGGGGATGTGTGGGGTGGCAGCGAGCATTGTCCCTGCTCCAGGGCAGGGATCAGGGCACAGAGCTCGGCGTTGAGCCCCCTCCGGGCAGAGCTGCAGCAGGGATGGAGCAGTTGGATGATGCTGAACCCAATGGGGCCGTTCTTCCCCATGAGAGCAAGGAAAAAGCACCTCAAGAAGGGTCCGAGCTCCTTCCCTGGCCTCTCCCCCCTGCACATTGCCCCTTGCAGCGCTGCCCCTGCTGTCTCCTAGCTCCAGCAGCTGATCCCATGCACCATTACATACACTGTGCATGGGGCAGCCCTGTGCCCCCCAGCCCAGGGGGCATCCCGGGGGGGTGGGACTGAGGTTCATTGGACACAAATCCCCTTCCCCAGCCCCAAGGCAGCAAGTGCAAGAGCTGGGCACGGAGTGAGGATGGGCTGAAAGGGGATGGATGCCGGGGGGGATACAGGGCAGCAGGTCCCTGTCTATAGCAGGTCCCTGTGCACAGCAGATCCATGCCCAAAACAGATCCATGTCCACAGCAGATCCCTGCTCACACTGGCTGGAGCTGGTGGAAACTATGCTTGGAGCAGCAGAGCATGTGACCGGCACCAGACCCTGCCACAACCCAGGACGTGCCCTTCGGGTGCTCCTTGGCTACTGGCCAAAGGGCACAGGAGGCTGCCCGAGCCATGGGGCTGCATCGATGGGGCTGGCACACTATGGGGCACCCGGATGTATAGGTCCAGGGCCGTGGGGCCCTGTGCAAGATGAGTTGTGGGGATCCTGAGGTGTGCAGAGAGCCTGGGTGGGGACAACACCATGGGGAGACCTGAGCCCTGGGGAGGAGGAGGAGCCAGAGCCATGGGGGGACCCGGTGTGGGGCACAGGGCAGGATGTGGCCCTGGCACAGCCCCAGGCTCACAGTAACCTTGGCACTGGCAGGGTTTGGGTGCTGAGTCAGCAGCAGCAGCTGTGCAAACAGCAGCCCTGGAGCGTGCTGGGTCAGCCCATCCAAAACCCTTCCCAGGCCCTTTTGGTTCAGATCAGAGCCCTGGTACCATCCCCGATACCTGCCCTGATACATCCCTTAGTACCTCTCCTAGTATCTGCCCTGGTAATGGTGGCTCTTGTTCTCTCCCCTCAGTCCGTGGTCACGCTGGATGGAGGCAAACTGGTCCATGTGCAAAAGTGGGATGGGAAGGAGACATCGCTGGTGCGGGAGCTGAAGGATGGGAAGTTAATCCTGGTAAGGAAATAGAAATGGTTTGAAAGGAGACCAAGTGGTATTGGTGTTGAGAAT